AAAAAAAAAAAAAAAAAAAAAACGTTTCGTGAGGACGATCACGTACAATACTATCCGAATTAAAATGCGACTCCTTACAGAATGTGTCATGTGGCGAACCCCTTTATTAATTAATCATGGAACATGTTAATCAGATTTCTGAACAGGGCATGGATAAACGGTGCCGACGCCATTACGAATTCAGATCTTTATTTCTCGAAAAGCTACAATTCCTCAAAAAGCTTCCTCTTTTAATTTTCTATTTACTGCGTAAATTCATATAATTTTCACTTTTTTGCGAAATTAATTAACGCGGCGATACGCGATTTTTCAACAATAACAAACTCGGCGCGATAGAAATTTTCTCGAAGAATGGACGAAAGAAGCCGCGGTCACGTATCCCGCGTTGCATTCTTGCAAAATCATCGAGCGTGCGAGAAAGTTATCGTGGTCCACGTGAGAATTTCAGACACAGTTTTGAACAATATGGAGCGGGACGAGTCGAACGAATGCCGAACGTTATCGAGGCTGTAAGCGATCGAATTATGATGATGGTATATTCACATTTTCCAGGAAAAGGTGCTAATTACATTTTCGATTTGGCACGCGTATTTCCCCCACCCTTGCGATCCTCGATAACAAAATAAACAACGAAAACAACTCCATCCAAGTCTCTATTGCCTGAACTCTAAGTCTGATCGAATCTTCTTCCTACTTAATCCCTTTACTTGATCCCAGTCAATAAACATTTTTTCAATTACATGATAAATGATAGCAATGCGCGAAGTTATACAAAATAATCGCTCAAAGAGAGGAAAATCTAATTTTCTCACAAAGCACTTAATTTACGAATATTCTTTTTTCTTTCCTTTTAGTCGATTTGGCGCGGTGCACAGAAGTAAGATGCCCTCGTTACATAACGAACGTATCGCGGGATACGAGCCATAGTATTCCTCGAACGGCATTCTTGTGCACTTGACCCCGAAAATTGAACGTGACGTAGACGGCGTAGACGCGTGCTTTCGTAGGCGCGAAATCCTTTCGCAACCACCGGCGAGCCGGTCGTAATCGTTGCGAAAATCGCTACGTCATCCCGTTAGCCGCTTTACACCGAGCGAAGTAGCGAAAGTAAGAGAAACGAAGACACACGGGAAGAGAGAGAACAACCTTGATTCGTAATTTCTCACTTTCCTAGATCGATCTGTTCTATTTTTATCCTCGAACTCGCGAATTTCTCCAGATCCTTGATCTCGTTATGACGCGATATAACAAAACGTGGATGGATAGTCGCCGGATTGACTCGGTGACGGCACCGTAACCCACAAACCGTTCTCATCCTTCCCACTCATCGTTACGTGATTTCCAAAGTGAGTCTAATAGAAATCGATTAGTCACGTAGAAATCCTTTCTACGCTATCGACCTATCTTACTATAACCACGTATTGCAGTAGGATGGAATCAGTGTGCACAACGTCGCGTAGGCAAAAAAATGTTAAATTATTTGGGATGGAAATGATACACAGATAACATTGACTTTTATTTTCGTGCACGAAAATATATATTGGTGATAATAAATAGAATAAAGAGTAAAAAAATATTTTATCCTACCGATAAAGATGATGCAATTAACGCGCGATCTATTAAGTCATTGCGAAAAGTATGACGTCTCGAAGGCAAAGGTTACCGTTCCGGGAAAAAAATCTACGAAAGAAATGTCATTGTTTATACGTATCCGTTTTACCGAGAACAAATCGTTTATTTTCTTTCGGAAGTAATAGCGTTGGTCGCTAACGAAGGAGCAATTCCAAGTTCCTTCGATCTAATGGGGGTTCCCGTGGAATTACGAGAACAGGTAAAAAAAGAGCGTAAACCGATTCGCGTAAAGAAATAGCACGTAGGATAAGTTTACGTACAAAAGGAGACATCGAGATTAGCAGCCAGAAACGCGAGATGATTAAACGATCGATCGATCGAACCGAGATTGTATTCGCTTCGTCAATTGTATCCATACACGATATGCGATTTTACTATAAACGTATACCGATTTGTAACGATTTTATCTTTCTCGATCGACCACTTACGATTATTTACGAAGAATACGCGTATTCTTATCGATTAATTAATAACAGAAGAGGAAGAAGAATCAACGTAGAACGCATTAACAATAGATAAGCGGATATATGTAATTATGCAAATGAGTCACATTTACAAGTTCTAGATCGTAAACGGCTGGCTCCCTCTACTATTCGCGAGAGGAGATCGGAGAATGCCGATAAATTTCGCGGAAGGAATCGAAAAGCGTGGAAAGCGGTTATCGCCGCATTGGCATCGTCATTTTCACGCGACCAGAGTTATCCCTCCCCGCGACGCGCCTCTTATCATCCCGTAGAATCTCGCGAGCCGCGATTAATCCATGTTACTGCACCAGCGAGATATCGTAATTATTACTATTACTCGTCATCTTCTCTATTATTAGCGTTGTGTTATGTCTACGGAAACTCGCGTGTGTACGTGGCACACGTATACGGCCGAGTATGCGCTCGCTCTGACGTAGTCAAAAGTCACGAGCCGCCGTTCTCGCTTTATTAATTGCACACGTTCGAGAGACACTCTCGAGACCTCTCCTCCTCTCCACCCTTCTCTTCCATGTACGGACGATACGCGGGGATATGCGCAAAGCGTGCCTTCATCGGCGGCCGTGTAACAATTGAAAAAAAGAATACGAGAGCGCGAATGACGCGCGGGATCCCCCTACGAGAAAATTGCTCTCGGATACGGAATTATTTATATAAAAACGTATATATCGATGCGCCGTGGCGATTCTCACGGAGGAAACGAATCGACGCGTCTTGCAAAACGCTCGCGTGCCAAACGACGACCACGACGACCACGACGACGGAGGGAAGGCTGGTGCAGCTGCCTCCATTGACAATCGTTCCAGGGTCGTAGGAGGTAAAAGCCTTTTTCTTTAAAAACGTTCCACTTTCGGTGGAAATTAACGGGGATAAATCGCGATACTCGAGGCCGAATTTGGAAAAGTTTGGGAGAGGAAGATATCTCGGTGGAAAATCACCATCAGAGATACCGTGGGCAGCATCCGCGCGCGTAATGATCCGTGTGGCGGATGGGATCACCTGTGAAACGCGGAACGCATAAGATCGGAGCGTTGGAGGCAAAGTCGAGATCGGTGGTCGGTTCGGATGCCGGGCTTGTACGACGCGCGGCAAGTGGGGATAAACCGATGGATCTCCGTTTAGTGGGGATAGCTGGTCGCTCGCGGGGAGTTATGAATGAGTCGTGGAGTCCTGACCCACGAGTGTCACGTGGAGGGGGTGGCGGTAGTGGCGGCGAACGTGAAGCAAAGGGGGAGGGATGCGGTCGGTGGCAGGAGGCGGTAGAACGTGCGGCGGAGGCGGAGGAGCAAAAGGAAAAGGAGGCCGGGGAAGAAGGAAGAAGAGGAAGAATAGGAAAGGAGAGAGAGAGAGAGAGAGAGAGAGAGAGAGAGAGGTAGAAGGAGAGAGAGAGAGAGAAAAAAAGAAGAGACAGAGAAAGAGAGAGAGAGAGAGAGAGAGAGGAGCGAGATGGATCGGAGATGGAGCGAGAGAAAAGCGAGAAAGCGAGCGACGAAGGAAGGAAGGGCGAGTACGAGGCGTACGAGTGGTGGGGGTAGGTGAGATTGACCGAAAGCGGGGTGTGGGCCACGTGCTTCGGTGGTTTTACAATCGTATATAGGCACCGGTCGACCGAGTGGCCACTACCATACACTGATAGTCGTACACCGAGGCCGCGCGCACGAGATAAAAGAGGAAAAGAACCGTGGCCGATCGAGAGAAGAAGGAAAAGAGGAAAGAGCGCGAAGGAGAGGAATACAATAGATAGAGAGAGAACGGGCAAGAGAAACGACCTACCGACAAGCAAGGCAGGCAGACAGACAGAAGTCCACCTTCCACTTCCATTCCCTTACGCAGGTTCACTCCTACTATAACGACGAACGAACAGCCAGCCTGCCTCTGGCTCGCTCGCCTGCCTATAGCTGCCTTCTCCTTCTCTGTTTCTATACCTACCTACCTACCTACCTACCTTCTCTGCGCCGTGGTTAACTCGGACAGAGGCGAGAGGTGATACATTCGATACACTCAGCCGGACGAGGGCGACGAAGACCTCAGTCACCTCCTGACATTCGGTATGGTACGACCTTACCCCACTGGCGTGCCAGTCCAGTAACTCGAGCTTCTCTTCTCGCGAGAACGAGAGAGAGAAAGAGAGAAAAAGAGGGTTCACCGTTGAAACGAAGTGATCATCGATAATAATCGGGCAACGCCGCTACGAAGAGACGAAGAGACAACGAGACAACGAGACGAGAGAGCCGAGAGCCGAGTGAACGAAGGGAAGTGGAGGATAAGAGAAGAGAAAAGTGTGGCACCGCACCACCACCACCACCCTTAACGGTGGCGTGTACGACGCGATACGACGCGACACCACCACCGCGCTTTCCTTCTTTTTCCTTTCCACGCGAACCCCCCTCCTCCCCCTCCCCTCCTCCCCACCGCCCCCCCCGTCTCTCTCTTTCTCCCTCCCTCCCTCCCTCCTCCCATCCTCCCCCCTCCCCCTCCCCCTCCTCCCGCCACATTCTTAAGCACCTACCGCTCCCCTCCTCCTACCTTCCTCTGAGACACCACTCGTAACCCCCTTCCCCCTCGTATAAGAATCAGTGCATCGCGTGTGTCGAGACCAGTGCCAAACGGGTTGTGATTCTGTGCGGACTCGGTTTTTCAAGTGTGATCCCCGCCGACTCGACTAATCTCGCCCAATCTCCTCCCCTCGTGTCGTGGACGCATCCTCCTCCATCGTCTTCGCGTCTCCCTCCTTCTCGTTCGTTCCCTTTCGTTCCCTTTCCGCGACATACACGCGAGTATACAACTGGCGAACATCTATCCATCCGTCTATCGCGCGAGTACACGCTCGATGACAAGGTATCACTGACCCGCGGCAGTCAGAGTACGCGGGGATACGCGCGAGAGGATAGAGGATAGGTCTCGCTCGCTCCTTGGCTGCCACGCGCCACCGCGAGTGCCTGCCTGCCTGCCTGCCTGACTGCCTGACTGCCTGACTGCCTGCCTGACTGCCTGCCTGCGTGCCACGAGAGTAGTGATCGTCGTCACAAGTGCTATGCGAATATGACGATTGGCGAGGATACGGCGATCGCTCACGATCGAGGGGAAATCGCGATGGAGGCGATTCTAGTTCGCGACCAAAGGACCACTTCGCACAGAGTTCTCGAACATCGAGCATCGCCGAATAAACCGATGGGGGCCGATTGCCCCGGCGTCGGGGCTACCGATACCAAATGGTACAAAAGAGTTCTGGATAAGAGCTTCCTATGCGAAGCTGCGATTAGTCCGACGATAGAGAGAAACGATCGGAACGAGAGACGCTTATCCCGTGATTCCGCGTGTCCTGTACCTGCTTTTTACGACGATCGAGGGATACGATCGAGACGCAACCCATCGTCAGACGTCACCGCGACCACGTGGCTCAGTAAGTCAAACTTACTCCACTACACCCGACGAATACGTTTCGTATTTCGCCGCGCGCGCTCTTTATCTCTATTTCTCTCGCGTTTTCTATTTCTTATTTTTTACTTTTTTTTTTTTTTCACGCTTCTCATCCTCTCTTCTCGCCGATGATTCGTTCGTTCTTCCTCTCCCGAGATAACGAGAAAATTTTTAATAATTCTATAAGTTGGGGATTCCTATTTGCTCTTCTCGTTTATTGGCGCGCGATCACGAAACGATGTTGAGCGACGTTCGTTCCTCAACGAGTAAGAGAATGCGAGAGAAGAGTGAAAGAAGATTTGTAAAAATACGATCGACGATAATTTTGAAAAGGAAAGGAACGAGCAATTCCTTGTTTGATCGCGAAATCTCTCGTTTTATAAAATTTAATAATCGTTAATCAATTAAAGAAAGAAAGAAAGAAGGAAGGAAGGAAAGAAAAATTTGAATATATCTCTCAATTGTTAAGAGATAATCGTAACGTTACGTTCGTACAGATTATTATTTTATCTTGACCGTTGTCGATGTAAAAGTTGCATCCTCTTTCCTGTCGCAACGTGTTCTCTGAATTGATACACATGCAGATACGGCCTGTATAACATTCGCGCTACATTGTTAACTACATTTGCATATTTATATATTCCTTCGAGTCGTTCTTACGGTTTCCTCGCAGCGATCGATATCGATCCATCGATTCCGTTTAACTTCGCTTCTCGATCGCGCCTCCTATTATCTAATATCAAGGTGAAAACTTAATTGGCCATCGTAATCGTAACATTAGAAATCGCACGGTCATCGTCGTATTTATTCCAAGCAACCCGATTAATAAGTCCGATTCTGACTCGTCGGAGGAGATTTCCTATCGATACACGAAACTTTTACTCGGGTTTGGTTTCGATTGAATTTGAACGCGCCTCCGTCAAGCAACGAGACTTACGATTCGCGAAATATCGTGATGAAGAATAAATCGTGCAAGTGTCATTCATTAACGTTTTAACGTTTTCTCTGTTCGTTGGCTGCGTACGGTACGCATCAACGCACACCTCACGCTGACTCAGAGCAAAATCAATACTTTCTTACGTAACGATAGTACAGCATCTTTCCCTGACTCTCCGTATTCTTCGTCTTCCTTCGCTTTTACTTTTGTTTCTCGTCGAACGATCGAGCGGACGGAAAACGGAAAACGTCTGGAATTCGATGCAACCCGCTCTTTTCCCTCCCTCTCTCTCTCTCTCACTCTCTCTCCGATTCATCGTGTAAATTGGCGGAGCAAGAGACCGAGATCTACGGTCGAGATCGGTTATTGCGACGAGTTTCGATTTTCTTCTCGCTCGAACGTTCTCAGCGCGATTAACACGTCTGGAATTTCACTTTTTCAGACGGAGCGTCGTAAAAAAAGAAAAGAGAAAAAAGGAAACGAAAGATAATCCACGCGTTTCGATTTAACGTGGCAGTTCGCCTCGTAAACGTGCCTCGCATTTTTCTTTTTCTTCTTTCTTTCCTTTTCGATTCTTCCTCCCCACCGATATACTCCTCCTCCTCCTCCTCGATTCGACGTCACTTTTCAACGTGTCGATGAACGCGTTAGTCATTCATTCTCCTCGTAACGAAGAAAATCCTCCTTATCTATTCCTCCTCCTCCTTCGAAATTGATCCGCTTGCGCGCAAAAAAGTAAACGTCGAAAACGTGTCGAAAACGCGTCGAAAACGCGTCGAAACGAGTGTCCCCCTCTTACGAGGATCGTAAACAAGTAAACGCTTGGCCGAGGACAGGCGCGCGATACGAAATCGGTGGGAAAAAAATGTGGCGAGTCGGATTGGAAGAGCGGCATGCGCGCTCGACACACCCACCTGTTGAACGTTCCCCGAGTCTGCTCGGGGGAGTCTGGCGATGTCGCGCCGCCTCGTGAAATTTTCACGCGTCGATTATCCTGCGCGATAAATCGACGAAGCGATAAATCGACGATCGATCGCGTTCGCGGAAATGGGGGAAGAGTAAAGAAACAGGGGCGAAATTGGAAAATTAGCGGGAGGCGATAAATAAGGGGAAATAACGGGGAGGGAATAAATGAGCGAAGGGGATATATAGAGAGTCTCGGGCGAGAGGATCGCGACCTACCGCAACGTAGCTCGGGTCCTCGGGCACAGACACGATCCGGACGATAAGGGGGTGGTGGCGGGACGGGCGTAATGGGGTATAATTGTCGCGAGCAATGCGAGGACAGTGCGTCATTACCGCATTTTTCACCATCTTCTTGCCGGCCAACCAGCGGAGATGCGCTCGCACCGGTGTCCACCGGCTTTGCGCGCCATACTTTTTTCCACGCGAGCGCGGGTTCTCAGGAATTTCGTTGGAACGCCGTCGCCGAGTGTCGTCGTTGAGGTAGGTCCTAGGCTGTGCGCGTACGTACTGTAGGCTGCCACACCGGGAGGGAGGGCGACGAAAGACGACGACGACGACGACCACCGTTAGATGACCGACGTCCCGCATGCACCGAAATAATAAACAGGCGCGCGTCGCGTCGCGTCGCGATTCGATTCGACTCGACTCGACGTATTTAAACTCGGCGGGTCGAGGGGAGAAAAAATATTGGGAAGGGAATGCGAGTGTCTCGCCGCGGAGATAACGTACGGATGTGTAGTTCGTGCACGAAGCAAATCGGATGATGCATTCCAGCCTGCAAGATTGCACGTTACGAGGCGCACAGGTGGCTGTTCGGATTTCTTACAGCTTAAGAATGCGAACTTGCCGGACGCGAGGCACCTATCATCGTAATTCCCTTCGCGGACAAATTTGGCCGGGCACACACGGAGGACACATCGTATGGCAATTAACTTTCAGCCGTGGAAAAACGCGGCGCAATTAAAGAAACTGGAGAAAGTACGTGGATGCGTATACTTTTGCGACGAGTAAGGAAATATAATCGCGGACGCGGCCCGATCGTTTACCCGGATCATGACAACTTGTGCTACGATAAAAATACTTGCCGCATTATCGAATAGACGTTTTTCCCCTTTACTTTTGCGCGCGACGAGATCTTAGGCTAACGATATCGTTTCCACGTTTCGCCTCCTAATCGGCGCCGTTTATTATAAACCGATCTTTCCCCTTTTTCTCCTTCTCCTCTCAACGCCAACCTCTCCTTCTCTTTCGCGAAAACGCGAAAACTTTCGAAAGAACGAAAGAAACGTGGAGGGGGGCGCCCGCGTTTTCGAAATTTTTTTCAAAACGCGATCGAAGGCGCGCGTGCCTTTTCTCCTCGATCCGATCCAGCGGGGACGAGGAGCGTTGCGGTGGTCGGGCGCGAATCGGACGAAAGGCTGAAAGGAGCGATTCGTGCAATTACCGGGTAGCAGGAAGAAAGGATACGACCGTTAGACGGTGCGGATTTCACGGTTACTTCGGGGCGCAAACTTCCCCGCGGCAAATTACTCTCTCGCCGAGACGCGAAACGCACTTAAGAGCCGCTTATTAATATGCGTTAAGTGTCCGAGGTGTCTCCCTGCCCTCCTCCTCGTCCCCTCCTTTTCGCTGTGTATCCTTCTTTCTCTTTCTCCGTCCGCTTATTTTTCTCCTTGCGACTCGAGAACGCGTCCGTCATGCGCGTTGCATCACGCGTATAGCTGCACATTAAAATTAAATTCGTTAGCGCCCGTACGATCGCACAACATACCTACATTTCCCTACGCAGTCCTTGATACGCACACCGTTACGCGCACACCGCACATACGCTTATCCCGATTCGTTCGCACCAATCTTTTTTTTTCCATTTCAAATCGACTCTTCCTCTTCTAGACCCCATCTACCTATACGCTTACGATTCGATCGAATTATATTCCATTAGAATCCCTCTACTTTTCATCGCATACTTGATACCCGATAGATGGTAAATCGATCGAACGAATCGACATTTGTGCGCGAGTAATCCTCACGCACGAGGTATACTCGCTCGTACAACGTAAGACCGGATAAAGACGACGACGAGGACGAGGACGAGGATGACGACGACGACGACGACGACTACGACGACGACGACTACAATAACGAGGACGACGACGACGACGATGTTTAAACGAAGAAGGAGAGAACTCGGTACGCGGTAGACTGGCGGTGGTTATACATCCTTCGAATGCGTATACGCGACTGGTGATGGTTTGTCGTCGTAGCGGTGCACGTGATCCCAGGCCCCTCATCAAGGGTCGTAACTCGTGAAATAATGCGACGACGAATTCGCGTGGATGTAATTCGACGATCGGTGATCCCGAAACTGCCGGATGATCATAAGACGGTCCCGATCGAAATCTACCATTTAGGCGCTTACTATCGAGGAAGACAGCATCCGGGGGTGGGAGGAGGGAGAAGGGGAGAAGGTAGAAGCAACAAGCCGGAAGCTCCGGCATGATTTCTCTCGAGGGCATCCTCCCCGAGAGGAGAGGATGCCCTCTTCTCTCTCTCTCTCTCTCTCTCTCTCTCACTCTCGACGTCAAATCGTTGATTATACCACCGAGTGAACTCGTTCTTATCTTCTTGATACACGGACAATTCGGTTAATAACGTATAACCGATGCAGTTGTCCGTGAACTTGGAAATAAGAGTATCGATATAATACCGTACAAATTAATCCAACTGCTCTTTCCACGCTTCCCAACCAGATTTTTCTACGTTTCGCGCCGAGTTGATCGACCCGAGATACGGAAGAATAAAATAAAAAAAAAAGAAAGAAAGAAAGAAAGAAAAGTGAATCATCGATCGAAATTAAAGAAACGTGATCGAGATGTATCGAAGATCGAAGACAATTCGCGAATAATATATACGAAACTCGGTTCGTATATACGTCATGGTGAGCATGGTAATCATTTGGGCTGTGTTCGATTTGACTTTCAGGGTTAGGCAGTCTTTTGGTGATCTTGCTGGTGGTCTCGGTGCACGCCGCTCCAGCGATGACCCTCGAGGACAAACGACTGAGCTCGACCCCCAAGTGGGTGAATCCTTGCGGCCTCGCGGCCGAAGATTTTACCGGAGATTTGGAAGTGGTGCAGCTCACGGACTCGCAGCTCCTTCATCAGGTCGTCGTTCAAGCGAAAACAGCGCTGATGCACGCCAAACTTTTTCGCGACGATTACGTGAGTACGCGTATTCTTATATTATATTCCTTCCCCTCCACCCCTCTCCGCCCCCTGTTTCGCATCCAACCAGCATCCACCAACCGAGAGATCCGTATCACCTCGGGAAAAGCATCGACGATTATCTTCGATCGAAATGTGTCGAAAAAACGGTGAAACGGTCGTGGAATATTTCGAATTAAAGGAAGGTTGGTTACGCGGTGGTTGGACACCGCGTTCGTTCGTTTTCTCGATCGAATATTGGCGCGAGTTCGCGGCGATCGGAGACCAAGATGAAAAGTTTATCAATGGTTCAATAATTACTGACGTGACTTCTGGCGGGGGATCGGACGGGGAAAGGGGACATCGAGCGGAAGGCAGTTATGGCAGTACTTCCGGTCGTACGGCCGTTGATCGTAGAGTCGCACAGACCTTCGAAAGAGATCTCGGACTTACGAATCGTTTTTTCGTCGAGAATACGCTTTCGATATTCACGCGCCCGATATTTTCTTCTTCTCTCCCCCCCCACGTTCTCGTGTTCTTCTAACGTTTGATTAAATTGCGTTGCCTCGTGTAATTTCACGTATCGAGGAAAGTTGACACGGAAATGCGAATAAATTAACCGCGTAACGTATGGATGGATAACACATAGAGGAAAACGAAAGTGGAGCGAAAATGAGAATGAAATTTTCGAGATTCGAAATATTTCGCGTGAATCCCAATGATTTACTTTCGCTGATTTACTTTATTTGGAAAATTCGTCTCTCATCGTATTAAATTTCCCCGTTCGTTCTCCACGATTTTATTTCAAACTTCCTTCTCCGATTTCCTTTTTTCTCGCGCCTATTCGTTTTTTCCTCTTTCCTTTCTTTCCTTTTTAAATCGTCACTACTGCGTTGCTCGTAACGATAATGATTCATCTTTATCGAAGTAATTAAACGTTCCATCATCGATATTCGAACGCTCGAATATCTCCATTTCCTCGCTGAATGGATTGGAAAGCGATCAAAATTACCCCGTTTCTCTTATTGCGAATATATTAAGCGCAATTTTTATTACACGTAATTGTAGATTGGAAACGCAAAATGTTATAATCGCCGGAAATAAAATTGGAAACGAAACGAAAGAGAGGAGAGGCGAGTTTCGTTCCCCTCGCGTTATATACTCGAACATTGTTGCCATTTGTCAAGAATTGTACAAAGCCAATACAAAGGCAGGTAGCTCGTTGGCCGCGGTTTTTTTTCTTTTTCGCGAATATCATCAAACGTGTAAGCGATCTTGAGGGAGGAGGAGGAGGAGGAGAAAGAGAGAGAGAGAGAGAGAGAGAGAGAGAGAGATAGATTCGTGCGACCGCGCACGGAGATCCTTTCGTTTCGAAAGAATCTTCCCAGCCGATCGTGCCTTATTATCTCTAACCAAGGACAATAAATCACGGGACCGGGTTCGGCCTCTCTCGTTGCTCAAGGTTTCTCTTCTGAAACGATCCGAAAAAAGAGACGTGGAAACCGCAGGATCGAATCTACGGTTACACACGCGAAACTTTACTCTCGTTTTTTAGGATAGATTAAGATCGTCCGCCCCCCTAGTTATGCATCGTGCACACACATCGTGTCGACACATCGTTCCGGGTCTCTGTATATATATATATATATATATATATAAAAAATACATAATAACCTGACTCATCCGTCGCTTTCTTTATTTACAATTGCGGCATACAGTTACGCGTATGCGGTTTTCTTTTTCTTCCGATCATCGGTTTTCGGAAGCGAAAGCAAAACAAAAAAAAAAAAAAAAAAAAAGAAAAAAAGGAAAAAAAAAAGGAAGAAAAGACAGATATCGAGTGAAGGAGAATCGAACGGCCATCTCTTTACGAGAAGAAACGAAATATTCGATTCTCTACGCTTATGCAGCCAATATTTGCCTACGCGAAGCGAGTGTGTACGACCGAGAGAAAATTAGCATTCATCGCGTGCGACCATAAAGGGTATTTGTGTGTCTCTCTCTTTCTCTCTCTCTCTCTCCCTCCCTCCTCGTACGTACAGGGCTCGTTCCGCCCTGTGGCCATTCCACCAAAGTCACATCGTTACATCATCGTTCCACGATACTCGATACCGATGTTTTCTAACTAAGTCAGCGCATAATCCGATATCGTTTCGTTCGCTAACATTCTCTCTCTCTCTCTCTCTCTCTCTCTTCTTCTCCCCGATACTCCGTCTTTTTCTCCCTCTTCTTGGGAAAACGAACGTTGTTCGCGATATCGGGCAACGGGTTACGCCATTTACGAAGAAACGTGTTCCGCCGAATAGCGCAAGAATTATTATAATTCGTTACGTATCCCTTTTCCGTTTTCGGCCAACGCTTGCTTCGATCGTACGACGAAAAACGACGCCCGCTTCTTACCGATACCGATTCTAGGCGACGCACTGTCTGGTGGTCCAGTGATGTCATCGGCCGACTCGTTATCGTCCCCACCGACGACACGTCGTAGAGAGAGAGAGAGAGAGAGAGAGAGAGAAAAGATAGATAGATTAACCGCGGATACCGAGAAGCGGGCAAGTTCGTGAGAGAGGGAGTGAGATCGGTCTCCCGCGTGCACGTGGCGTGCGATTCGCGATACTACCATTTCGATCCTCGAATCCTCCGTGTTTATATCCCGATACAGCTTTGAGCTAGAGCTAGGAGGAGGAGGAATTCGAAACAGCCGCGACGATTACTTATCGATACATACGGGATAATTAGATACGAAAACTCGTTTGCCACAGGATGCATCGTTCGTTTTCGCCGCGTTGGCGTTTTACGCGGTAAACATCGGCAGAGGATCGGTGTTGACGCGTCCTTGCGAGATGCTCGTGAACGAATCCGATATTCTGTTCTTCGTGGATAGGAAGTCCGACGTCTACGAGTCGCGTATACGCGCGTCGGTACGTGAAGGAATCGGATAAAATATCGGAAGCGGAGGATTCCAATAAATCAGAATCGGAAGCTGCCCCTCCCCGCCAAGGATGGGGCATCTATACACCACACCGGCACTCCGCCTGCATACTAAAGCGCACACCGGATATACAACCCGCCAGTGCATTTACTCACCTCGATACATTCAGTACGCACTACGACACGTAGTTTTCTGCTACTCCTTCGCCTGGATGTCGATCCGTACGCTTTCATTCAATGCTGACACGTTTTCTTTTTCCCTATTTTTCCTCTTCAAATAAGTTATATTATCGCGAATATATCTCCGATATTCTTATTTTTCTTCTCCTCGCGAAAATCTTTTGTTCTCTTAAATTATAATTTTTTTTTTTTTTTGGTTTTTTGTTTTCGTTCTTGGCTAAAGAAGCTTTGTTCGTGGTAGATCTAAAAACTTTTTTCAAAAAGTCGAAGAATTATAAAGATACATTTTTGCCAGAATTTTGTTTTCCCTCGATTCGAGAGAAAAATCGCTCGTTCTCTCGGAAACGGAAATTACGCTGTCTTCGATTCTCTGTTATTCGATCGGGGGAAGAAATTTTTTTCGGGGGTAAATTGGGGTAAATTGGAAAGGGGGAGGATCGATCGAGGGGAATGGAAATGGAATGGATTCGCATTCCTCCCTTTGTGTCCCGTGGAGTCGCGAGCAGCAGGGAAGCGAGGCGGTTCGATCGGTTCGAGGCCGTCGCACCGAAATTTTATAACTTCTAATAAGCGGTGGAGCGGTGAAGCCGCGCTAGAAGAAAGACCGAGAGGCTAATTGATTTTGACGGGTCCTCGGGAGTACCGCAGAGAGACCATACCTACTCTTGCCAGCCTACTTCCTGTCAGTTTTCAGCCCGGTTTTACGATTATTCGTGCCTCGGTGTGGCCGAGGAGACTTTTACGAGGCACAAAAGACCCGCGTCTCAGATTTGCTCGCCGCCAGTGGTTGTTAGCGACAATTCCTTTCATTCTTCCCCGTTTCTTCTCCCTTTTCCTATTCGTTCTCTCGCTGAAACCTTCTCGTGACCGGCTTCGAACCAGCAACAATACGAGAAACCCACGCATTTCACCTGACCTGCGGAATATTCGCGACCCCTTCGTTTCTAAATCGATAAAACACGACCTTTTGCTTTTTTTTTCTTCCTTCCTTCCTTCCTTCCTTCCTTCCTTCCTTCCTTTCTTTTTAACCGGTCGAAAAACCGCGCGTTTTTACACACGATTCCTCCTTTCCCTTTCTCTTTATCAACTGATTAAGAGAAACTGAAACGAGACGAGACGAAATCGAATGGTATTTTTGCACCGACTCGATGCGTTCGATTGGAATTCGTCACGCTTTAAATTCGGATGGGAGAAACGAGATTGGAAGAAACGTGTGTAAGGATACATTTTAACGCGTATTTATTACGGGAACGGTTCGCGTAAAATAATCGTAAAATTTATTTAATTGGCCATTCGATCCCCCCTTGTACGCTTCGTTCGAGAGTTCCCTGGACGGAATCAATGTTACACGGATTAGCGATAATAACGGTTCGTGACCGCTTCGTTTTAATCATCGTGTTTAACGTTTCCAATACAAAGTCTCTCTATTTTTTCCGAAAAGCCACTGTATCCCTCTCCGTTGAAGGGTTTCGCAACGGATTTGGGCGAAGGAAAAGGATCGATTACCGATCCAATAGGAACCACTAGTTTCTGATAGTCGCGCGAGATTATTGCGATATCAACGAGAATTCGATCGTGGTTCGACCGAATTAGTCCGCTTTCGTCTTTCGACATCGTTTCCCTCTTCCATTCTTTCGATTCACGTGTTTCACCTTAACGTCTTCCTTTCGAGGGAAGAAAGGAATTGTTATTCGTCTAAAACTCATCGATCAGTTTTTCCTCTTCCCTCGTTCTTCCCAGTTGCAATGATATCGAAAGTAAACGATTTATAACGTATCATTACCGACATAGCTCTCAGGTTGCCGCATACTTTTCTAGTTGTTTGCTTGTCAAAGTATTATCGCGGTCTGCGGGTCGTGAGAGTAATATCGCGTGATGATTATTTCCATTCCATGGGCCAGATAAGGGACTTGGATAGCCACGTTATCTGGTGCGGGCCAGCTGGTCCAAGATGCGAGGTCGAAGACATGTTCAATGACATACATACCTAGCTGCTTATGTCACGGACCAAGATCGAACGATTTAAAGTAGTAAACTTTGACGATCTTTAATTATCGAGCGAGCCGATGCCCACGTTAATAACATTTCCGTTAGAAATGCCTAGAAATAGAAATATCGCGGAGATGGAGGCAAAATGATAAAGCCACTTCGATGATTTATCGTTCGAAACGTATACATAAACGTTATACGCGAGAAGAGGATCGACTATGATCGATCAAGCCAATTATCGATCGAATCGTCGCGTGAAATCAATTCCCTTTCCGCCGAATCGCGATTAAAATCCCTAGAAGAAGAAGAAGGGACACCGACGATGACGATGTAAAGCGGCGAGAATTTTCGCGGGAAACGTTTGGACGCGTGCCGTTGCGACCTTGCGATCGCGTTAGATCCTTTTATATCAGCGGTTCGAGTTTCGCGGAACGAAATGGTTCGTTCGTGATGAAGCGGTGTCCCGAACTCGTTACTCTCCTCCTCGTTTCCAGTGATTCACAACGCGACTCGCCACGCGGAATATCCGAATCTTGGAAACTCGGATCTCGAATTTCGCCTCGAGACTCGACAGCTGATCCCTGAGCTTTGGAACGCGACGCAGCTGATCTCTTGGCGATGGATCTCTGGTAATCTCTCGTAAAAAGGCAGGAATATGCGTGGCAGCTCGGTGTATTGGGGGAAAAGTGAAGCGAGGCGATTCGTAGCTCGAGGCGGGCGCGTGCTGTTCGGGCACAGGGATAGTCGCGGCTATGCCTGGCAGGGCTTACTCATCATCCGTCAGTATGGCCTGTCCACTGTTCCCATCGTACCAGGAACCGGGGGGATATCGAGATCGCGAACGGAGAGGCGGTGTTGCCTCGTTTTAATCGGTGACTAAACTCGCTAACCTGTTATTGAACCATACTGCTCCCATAATGAAGGTGCAGTGAGAAATTTTTGCATATAAATGAACCGCCTCGCGCTAAAGACGTTGAAAAATAAAGACATTTTAGCGTTTTCGATGGCCGATCATTGCTACCTTTGACGCCCGAATATAGGCTTATATTGGAACGTAGCATAACATTTAACGCGGGAAAAAATATTATAATTAGAACCTTGTTTCGTTAAAATTTTGTTACTTTGCGTTACTCCCATCCATTTTTTTTTATAACCCTCCTCCTCTTCTTTTCCTCTCGTTCTCTCGTCGTTCTCTCGTCGTTTTCTCGTCGACTCGTCTATTTTTTCGATCAATCGCGTATATTCAATTTCTTTTTTCCCATTCTTTTATAGGCTAGAAGAACGTACAAAATCGACTTTGCCGATCTACATTCGACCTTTAAAGATCATTACAATTGGCTTCCTGGCCCGAACGAAATTCCCAAGGAACTAGGAGAGAACCTGAATCAAGAATACCTTGACAGATTAGAAGTATGTAACGATCTTTTTTTCTTTTTCTTTTTCTTCTTCTTTCTTTTTTTTTTTTCTTTGTATGCACAAACACGATGTACCTTGATCGACGAATTATCGTTAGTACAAAAAAGAGAACTTGAACTCGAGATGTGTCGCGTGCACTTTATTATGCAAATGTTATTTCTCCTGCGATAATCTCACAATTTTGTATATTATAATTTTATATCGTTCTTTCGTTAAAGAGAAAATTTTTAGTTTCGAAACGATCAAAAACATATTGATTTCCAAATCCAAATGAGGCAAAATTCTCAGGTATAGAAAATGATCGAATTGTTTTGACAAAAAAATGCATTTTTCGTTTTCGCAGCTCGATACAGCCCTCATCGACGCGTATGAATACATGCAAAAGTATGCCGTGGGTCTGGAACAGATTGTTTGGGATCAAGAGGATCTTCAACTCGAGTTTCGCAACCAATTTAAGGAGACCGAATACAAACTGCGAACGGTGAGTTATTTTTTTTCTCTCTCTCTCTCTCTCTCTCTCTCTCTCTCTCTCTCTCTCAATATTCCAATATTTCTTCGCGAATTATTTTTCATTCCTCCGGTAAAAGAGAAAAAAGAGAAGAAAAAAGAAAAGAAAAGAAAAAGGGGGGGAGGGAAAAAAAAAGAAAAGAATTATTGAACAACTTTCACAATGGTACCGAAATCTCACCGAATGCTATTAGCCTGAATCACGTTACTTGCATTGTCGCAAACGCGATAAAAAAGGCACTTTGCTTTTACGAGTTTGACGCAAAGTTTGCGCGACAAAACATTCGAGCCGCGTAAAAACGTTTATAGACTTATCGTCCATTCAACTGCAATTTGGATCACTGTTCTGTCAGCTTTTACCCGATCTCCCTTTAATTTCTCGGTTTCTGTTCTCCTTCTTCTTAACGGTTAACGGAGCAAAAAGAACGTGAAAATATTTTAGATATCTTTTTCCTTTTTTTTTTTAATTACTAATAATCCGAATCGTTCGAATTCGAAAAGTTTCAAAAGAAAAAAAAGAAATAATAATAATAATAATAATAATAATAATAATAAAAAAGAGAGAAAAATCGATTCGATTTCCATAACATTGGAAAATGTACGTTTACAGGTGCTGTGCGAGCTGCAGGTAGCGCTAGTGGAACGTCAACTGTCGTCACGGCCAGACGTGACACGGGACATCATGAAGTCCGATTTCCGGAAACAATCTTCGGAGACGCATCGAAATTTACGCGATTGGTTGATCTTTCGGGATTACATGAACGGGCTTGAATACGTGATACAGGTGTTCGAACACCTACGCCGTGGACTTCAATCCTGAGGGTGGCAAGGCGGAAGCCGAAGAAGGGCTACCAGGCGACGACTCGCCCATCTCAGGAAACCGGACCAACCCTACCTGGATGGCCATCTCTCGTCATAAGATCGGAGAAGAAAACAGGGGAAGAACCTAGACGGTTCTCCAAGCAGGTCAGGGGCTATTTAACCCGTCTCGGTTCCAGTCGGATGTGATCTCGAATGGCGACGATCGGCCTATCCGTCGGTCACCGGATCATCACCCAGTGTCGAGCAACCGCGTAATAAAGTGAAACCGATGGATATTCCGTATTCGTTCGAACGTGTGAAACGTGTCAAACGCGCGCGCGCGCGTGTGTGTGTGTACATATATATATATATATATATATATCTCTGTTGCGAGTTGTTGACTATCGTTAAGTGACTTTGAAAACGTTGACGAGAGAATCGTGAAAGAAAATCGTGTCCACGTTTCCCGTCCATCTTCTACACACGCATACACACACACACACACATACACACACGTACACGCACATCGTCATCGTCATCGAGAAGATCATCGGGAGAGGCATCCGGCGAAGAAGTGAGAATAACAACAGCAGGAAGAAGAAGAAGAGTCGTACGATGATCAACAGCCCATTGGCTTTCGCCGCTGTAAATTCGTGTGCGAGATGTATATATATATATATATATATATATATATTGAATTTCGCATGCATTTATGCTAGCACGCGTTCCATTGTGTGTTCCACGCGTGAAAATTCATATCCAAAGTATATAATAATCGTAACGTGAAAAAGAATAAAGATGACGGATCGAAGAGGAAGGATAGAGAAGCAGTTTCTCGAGAGAGAAAGAGAGAGAGAGAGAGAGAGAGAGAGAGAGAGAGACGTCTTATCGTTCGTCAATGAGATTTTCCATAGTCGGTTGAACGAAAAACGTATTGTATCTAGTTTCTCGCATTATTTGATAGAGCTGCTTTTTTTTTTTTTTTTCGTATTTTTCATATCCTATTCGACGAATAAATCTTTTTTTTTATTAAAATTACTCTACGACGTTTTACCGGTGGACGCCTAGCTTTTTTTCCTTTTATTCGTTATTTCGACGATATATAATTTTATCTTAATAGAGAGATTTCATTTTTAATCGGGAAAATTGTTCAAAATGGAAAGACTCGATCGAGATAACGTATCATCGATGAAGGTATAATATATCGTCGATAATCGTTGTTTCCGTTACAATATATCTATTTTATTTTGAATAATTCTCCCCTTAAAAATGATAATTTGTATTATCGTTTTATTTTATTGGAATAAAGCAGCGATATCAAGGAAGCGGGCGATTCGAGGAGATTTTTATTGATCGAGGATCGAGGATTGAGAAACGAAAGGAAAGGATAAGACGTGAATGAGATCGTGCCGAAAGAGGGGGAAAAGGAAGGATTCGGAGGGAATCCGTTTAAACGAGCTTGTACACCGCAGCGGTGTTATTATCCTAAGTATACAAGAATATACAGTATTCGCGCTTTAACTTAGATTATTCGCGTCGTATCAAAATAAATTTTACGTGTATGTTTGTCGCGTGTATCGTCACGCGAGCCGAGGAAACGAGCACAAAATCGTTGAACACGTCAACTGATTGAAACGCAAAACTTTCGACGAGCCGTTCGCGCCCCGTTCTTAATCCTATGTAATAATTTATTATCTAACTGTAATATTATTATATTTGTATTTATTCAGATTATTTATTTTATTTTTGTAAAGATTTTACATGTCCGATCAACTGTATTTAAAGTGTCTAGTTGAGCTTAAAAATTATCTAGAGTATAACAGAGAGAGATACAGAAGGATATATAATTATAATTATTATTATTATTATTATTAATTATTATTATTAATTATTATCATTATTATTATTAATATTATTAGTAAAATTTTTTAATAGTATCGTAGGGGAAGAAGAAGGAAACGCACCGAAGCGGCCGACGCCATTTTACGTTACGCGCCGCGCTGCTGCTGCAATCTCCCTTCGCTTCACGTATCTTTTTCACGGTATGCGAATATAGAAATTTATTTGAAAGACAACGATTGGCAAAAATTCGTTTCTCTCGTATTTTTTATTCGTTGCGAGGATTATATCCTGGTAAAAAAAAGCGTAAAAAAAAAAAAAAAAAAAAAAAAAAAAAAATGAATATTCGGTTAACATTAAATCGATTTTTTTATCCGACATTGATTCGATGGATGGCCTGTTAGAAAAATTCTTCTTTTTCTTCTTTTTTCTTTTTTCTTTTTCTTTTTTTCCCCCTTTTTTTATACATATATATACACACATATATATACATAGCAGAGAGAGAGAGAGAGAGAGAGAGAAAGCTTCATACTTCCGTTTTAGATCTAGCGATATCCGAGACTGTTGCGAACCGAACGAAACGCCATCTTCTACGATACTCGAAAGCGCTATGTTTTTATCTTAAAAATATCTTTTAATCTCTGGAGAGAATTTTAATCGTTCGACTCAATTCGATTTTATCTCTATCGATTTTTCTATCATTTAAACCTTTTATCCAAACCTGTTTTTTTTTTTTTTTTTTTTTATTTCATCGACTTTCGTGTCTAGAAGAGAGCGTCGCGTTAAGTTTTGGCGTCGATATTTGCTCGAAGACGGCCGACCTCACAGATCTTTTCGTACTTACGATTTATCCTCGAAGCTTAGAGACAAGGTTTAAATCCATGTTGTGTCCTGTAAAAAAAAAAAAAAAGAAAAAAAAAAGACAGAGATCGTCGTACTTTTTACGTACTTTTACGTTTTAATTCTCGTGTCATCGGCGGCCTATCAAGCTTATCATAGGTAAAGAAGAAGTTGATAAAAGTGTTCGAAAAAAATTCACGGGTTAATCGTATTGTGTGATTTTCTTTTCCTTTTTTTTTTTTTTNTTTTTTTTTTTCCCCTCTTAAGTGTACGCGCATTAAACGAAACTTTGAATTTTCATATCATCGTATCTGTGATATGCATCGCCCTTCGTAAGATTTATCATCTTTGAATCGCACTGAGTCTTCTGCCGAGGGAGAAGTAGAGAGAGAGAGTATACGAGAGTGTGTGCTTTAATTTGAAATAACGAGAGAGAGAGAGAGAGAGAGAGAGGGAGAGAAAGGCCGATCTATGTGGCAATGTCGATCTCATAAATCGATCTCGAATACGCATTTTCCATTTTATCACCGCTATTTTATATGTTTTTTTTATTTAATAGATCATTTATCGTTTAAAAGTATCGATCATTTTCTAGCATCTTTTTCATTTTTTTAAAATAAGAAAGACTGCCACTGTTTAAGTTCGATCGTTTCAAATAATCGTGGAATCGAGATCTATTTAAAAATTATTGTTCGTTCGATCGGAAATTTTTTTCTTTTTCAATCAAATTCGGCAATTTAATAATTTTCGATCGCAAGCAGCAGCGCAGCTTGTTCGAGCGTCGTCGATTAGCAAAATAATCCTACCGATTGCCGATATACGAATGCTGTTTTTATTATTATTATTATTATTATTATTATTATTATTATTATTATTATTAGTATTAGTATTATTATTATTACTATTATTATTATTATCATTATTATTATTACTATTATTATTATTATTATTATTATTATTATTATTATTATTATTATTATTATATATTCCAATCGACGACACAATCGAAATTCACAATTCTATTAAATTATCGTGAACGCGGGTATTTTGTTTCTCCGGTTATATTTCTCTACATTAGAAAACAGCGTACCCGCGTGTAAAGATACGTGGAACGTGCCGTGCAAAATGATACGATGCATCCACCTTATTCTCCAACTGTTCTCCATTAGAAGAATCCGTTTCTATCCGAACGATAGGAAAGAAACAATCGGTATTATCGATACGATCGTAAGGAAAGAAAAAGTATCGATTCGGGATTGACGAGTTTTGCAGGCACGTTCCGCGGGATCGATATACGCGCGATATACGGCAAATTGTTATGTAAGATAATTATCGGATCGCTTGGTATAACGTTGTACATAAACGGATTTGATGATATAGAAAGCTACGAAATATAATTATGTATGTGAATATGTAATAATATGTACACGGGCCCCTCCCCCGCAACGCCCGATTGCTCTGTTGTATCATATTAAACCAAAGACAGTTTGAACACGGAACAACACGGAGTTTCATTTCAAAAAAAAGAAAAAAAGAAAAAAAAAAAAAAAAAAGGACGAGAAAAATTTCCTCATCCCCCGCGATTCCCTTGGCCGGGAATCGGGAAATTTTGGCGCGAAATTTTGATGAAAAAGACGAAATCTCGTGGTTCTCGGTGTTCGTGGGTCTCGATCCCGTTGCTGAATTTGCCGTGGTGGAGAGCGAGCAAGAAGAAAAGACTCGGCCGTTTCCCATGATCAATGGCCGTGGTCGTGGTGCCGTCTACGTCTTCGATGTTTGAGAGGAAACGCGTAAGTACATGATCATCGTCCCGGCCACGGCTCTGTCCCAAGCCGCCGTGTTTACCCATGCTGTTAGCTCGTTGTCATCGCTCTCCCAACTTACCTTCTCATAAGGATTTCCACTTCACTCGTGCTGACCGTCTGTTTGACGATACCTGCCCCGTCTTCCCTTCCCTGTCGCTCGCCCAGGTGGTTTCCCGAGCGCCGCCAAGGTGTCAATGTTTTGCCTAGCCATTAAGATCGTTAGTCCTCCTTCCTGTATCGTTGCGCGTATTTGGTCGGAGAGAACGATCACCGACGATCGCGTTTCTATCTCGTGTCGTATCGCATCGTTCCGAGTTTTGCCCCGAAATCGAAATCCAATTCTATATTATCCTTTCGCGATCGAACGGGTAAAGAAGTGATCGAGCGGCTAAGAAACGTTACAGCGGTCGAACGTGTACAGAGATAGAAACGTGTGAGAGAGGAGACGAGTATTTAAGGCCGGTTAACGGAGAGCGAAGAGAGGAAAGATGGAATTCGGAAAGGAGCCGAAAAAAGGATGATTCGCCGGTGTCTTGGACGACGATGCAGGTAGGGATCGACGATCGGATCTCATGCGGCGAGGTATGAATGAGTCGTGAGAAGAGGGCAAAAAAATCGGTCGGTACCATGAATGGGTGGGAAAACTGCGACGTTCCCGCGGAGAATCCTCTCTTTCTCTCTCTCTCTTTTTCTCCTCTTTCTTACCCCAGTCTCTTTCGTTTTGCCCGATCCTCGATGACGGCGAAGTGCCGACGATCCTTTTGCACTTGGTTTCGAAGCGAGAGAAGAGTCCTGGGAGCGGTCCGGAATCGTCTAGCCTCCGTAGCCGCGGGCAAATACTTCGGCTCCTTTCAGCTCGAAAAAAATAGGAGGCCTCGTTGTAATTAGGACAGTGCGCCCGCATGGCCTGTTGGATGGAGTCTCTCTCTCTCTCTCTTCACCATTCTCCTTCATCACCCACTATCTCGCTCCTCCTGTCCTTCTCCATTACCCGTCCATCGTCTCTTTTCGCCTCTCCCCGTCCTTTGCTCCCTTCCTCTCTCGTCCTTGAATACCCGAAGCCATCCTGCCGCTACATTCCTAGTGACCCTCGAGACAACTTTCAATAACGTTGAGACAAAAGGCTTCCAAAGTTGAGTGGACCCGTGGCGGCGGAACGCCTCGCGCGCGATGGGATTGCTCCGCGTTTAAAAGGACCCGTTCCACCCTTTCCTCTCCATCCGACTTACCTTAAACTGTATATATATATATATATATATATATATATACGGGGTCGAGTTCGATGGAGAAAAAAAGAAAAGAAAAGAGAGATCGCGAGATGGAGAGGAAAAGAGACTCCGATGGCGTTAACAGAGTCGTCGATCGAAACCCGATCCCCTTCCACACAACGATATTCTATCTTTCGTTCCGTCGCTTCGAAACGACTCGAAACGACTTTGTTATTAGATTTATCGCTTCTGGAGAAAAATGCCAAATCGTGTCTCGTTGATTTTCTGAAATCGAAAATCTTCTCCAGGATGAAAGAAAGAAAGAAAGAAAGAAAGAAAGGAAGAAAGAAAGAAAGAAAGAAAGGAAGGAAGGAAGGAAGGAAAAAGAAGAGAAAAGATGGCTTAAACGGTGTATCGATTTACCGAGGCGAATCTAGATAGGAGCAAGTGATGCGTAGGATCGGAGGACGCGGTTTCTCTCTCGGTCAATGTCGAGATGGGTTCAGAGAAAAGAGGTGGCGTTTGTGGGAACCGTGAGACCGCTTCCGAGAAGGTTGGACAGCGCGTATATAGACGGAAAAAAGAAGGTGGACGGAGAGGAAGATTGGGAAGGAGTGGGGTGGGGAGGAGAGGAGGGGGCGGCATTATGGAAATTCGGACGTTCCGCAAGATTGGCGTTTTTTCGCGTGGCGGTTCTCGGCGAGAGAAGGATGATCGGTTCGCGGTGGTTCGAGGCGCACGATTGTCGTCGGCCAGCTGCGGCGGGCCAACGAGATGCATTTTGTCGCGAGATAACGCGGCGTGGACGATCGGGGCGCGTGGGTGGGACGGGCGATAACCGGTGAAACACACGAACACTTTTAACGACTAATTGCCGTAGATAGGCGAGCGGTGGAGAAGTTGGGTGTGGAACTGGTATATACGGTTGATCGTCGTCCTCGCAAAATGCATGGGAACCGAACTCATCTCACCGATGCGTGCGTCATCCTTTCTGTATCCATGCTGGATTTCCATAACGATCTTCATCTCCGCGCGCAACCTGTTGCCTCTAAATAACCAACCGCCTGTATCGACGTTGAACGATTGCTTCCAACTGAATAATTTTCGTTTCTCCAATTTGCGTTTATCGTTTTCTTCGTCGTCGGTTAATTTTCTAATTACTCACCGGTGCAACGAATATATATATATATATATTATCGCGTGGAATGGAAATTACAGTTACGCGAAAGAAACAAGACGGATGACGTAACCGTAGGTCGTTTCGCGAAGGAGAGAAAAGGCAGCGTGTGTCGTGTCCATTACGGATCGTTACAGATCTTTCAGGCCCTTATGGGAAGTGGTCCGGCGCGAGGCGAGGAGGAGAGAAGAAGAGGCGGTTTAGCGGCGGTGGCGAAGGTTTAAGAACGTAGTCTCGTAGCGGGACGACGAGGTCGCGACATCGTGACCACGGCCAGCCACTGATTTACATATTGTCCACCGGTGAACCAGCATCGCGGGCTCTTTGTTTTGGAATGCCTGCCGAGAGCGAGGAGAGGAGCCTTCCCTCCTCTTCGTTTTTCTCGGCCAGCCTCTCTTTTTCTCCCCGGCTTCGTTCGTAATAGCGTCCAGATCCCGACGCCGGTGCTATCCACCGAACCACCAACGTCGATCTCCTCGAGAACTCGGAGAGAAGGCGTCGAGGTAATGCATTCTCATTTTTCGAACGGCGACACCCTTCCTGCTCCTCCATTCGCCGTGTACCCGACCACGATCGCCAGATTAGAAAATTCTTCTCGTCGCTCTCCTCCGCTCGATTCTCACGGATAACATCGCTCCTCCTCCTCCTCCGTAATTGCTCCATTTCACTTCTCTTCTTTTCTCTCTTTTTTTTTTTTCTTCTTCCCCTCTCGCAATCCTCCTTCGCGAAAAATCTCTTTCTTATCCTCGATTCGAAGATACTTAACAATTCTCGATCGAAACGGGAAAAGGGAAAAGGGAGGAAAGGAACCGGTGAAGCATCGATTACGGAACCCCGTCGGTTAACCCCGTGGCGGCCAGGTGGACGCGTAGAAGGCGCCCGGTGGTAAGAAGAGCTGTAAAACCGATCCCTCGCGCCAGATTAAGGTGTCGCAAAAGTGAATAAGCAAACCTAAAAGACGTGCTGCGAATAATGAAAACTGGCCGGTTTCTTCTTTGCTTCCAACCTCGGACAGTTTTGCAGGTATATAACCGTGCATTGACTCGCCCCTTTTTCCGATCCATCCTAAATCAAAAGTCCTTGCCTCGTATAGTTTTTCCACTCTCGACAATGGTGGACGGAGCAACGAGAGGCGCCGTTTCTTCCCTCCACGTGATTTTCCGGTTAATGGTAGCATCAAGGCGTTCCACGCGTTCGTAACGAGCAAATGTTTTTATTACCGGAATAATATCGATTCAAAATCCTCGATCCCCGATGCTGACGATTGATCTCGAGGATACGGTGGCGAAACTGGAAACTTCGAATCGAGATTTCGAAGAATCGTTCTCCTCGTTTTGAAAGACGAAGCGGCGGAAATGCTGCTCATAGTTCGATTCCCCCTTGGGCAAAAAAGCGGGCCAGTCCATAATTTAACGTCTACTTTCTCGAGGACACGGAATTTGGAGGCTACGCGTACGCACGTACGTGGCTAATAGCGGCAAGCGCGTTGGGGGGAAAATACGCGAGACGAAGGAAGGAAAAAGTGGATGAAGATGTTTAGGAAAGATGTTGGCGAAACCTGCCGTCGAATCGAGCATTTCGGAATCGGTGTTGTCCAGTTTGCCGGACCGTTCTGGCTGCCGCGCCTTTCCTCTTCATCGTCCCACTTGTTGCCGACCGCAGCCGGGCACGAGGCTCATGCTGATGCCTTGTTAACATCCGCGAAACGACCATCAAGAATCCCAAAGAGGTTGCCGCATTAGAACCGGCCGGGAGTAGAGGAAGCTGCTCTGGGTGACTGGCTTCCATGTAGATTTGTCAGACGCAATAATATCGTCTACCTACTTCGGCCCCGAGCCATGTTAAAAGGATTCCTATATAACGTTACGAGCTGGCAATTTCGAGACTCGAGTAATGGCGATAGATAAGGAAGAGGTTGTAAACAATTCCACCGTTCTTTCTCCCGTTGTTCGAAATTCGACCGTAAACGATCCTACGAGAGACACCGTAACACGTTTTCCAACCTTCCTCGAATTTCGCTCCTTTTTTTCTCTCCTTCTCTCTCGTAATATCCTTCTTTCCAACGCGAGATAAGGATAGAATCAACGCTCGAATTGAAACAATCGCATTTTCGCGAATCGATCGATGATTTCTCAGAAACGAGAAAGAAATGGAGCGAGCGAATTTCGAAAATTCGAGAAAACGAATCATAACCCGATTAACCCGACCGATTGGATGCGGTCGGAGATGCCGCGTTATCGCGTCGAAGGGCGAAAAATGGTGGAGAAGAAAGAAATGGCGCGGGCTCGGACTCGGTTCGGCTCGGTTCG